AGAGCGGGAAAGCAAGCACGCACGCCGGCTTTCGTACTTTGACTACTCCGCGCATGGCACAGCATGGCACAGCATGGCACAGCCTAAATGAAGGCAGGCCTGCAGTTTAAGACTGCTCCATGCTGTGTATTCAAACACCTCCTTCGGTGCAAAGCCTAAGGCCTAAAGGTTAACCTTGAAACGCTTTCTTTGAACCCGGAACTTCATCCAGGTCATATGGTCTTCATCTCCACTCGAGCCTCCAGACATATATATATATATATACGCATATGTATATATATATATATATGTTATATGTATATGCAACATTCGAACCCTGAACGCATCGCTTCTTTTTTTCACCCCTATGGATGAGCCCAGTTGCGGCCCTTTCTCCCCCCCCCCAAGCCTCGCTCTCTGTGCTACGGCCCGCAAAAAGGCCGTCTCCCAATCTCCGGTGTCCGACTTCCACTGCCTTCGCATGTTTGGCCGCTTGTCATTGGGTATGGGCTGGTATTAGGGTTTAGGGTCTTCTACACAGACTTTTCGAGTATGTCTGGGGCAAACCTTCTGCAATCAATAGCGGACGCCCTCACATCCCAAACCCAATTTCCGTCAAAGTTGTTGCTTAATTTGTGCAAGGCCTCCCCGGGCCCTCCTTCCTTCCGGCACGCATGCCGCTCTCTCGCTCGCTCTCTCTCTCTCTCTCTCTCTCTCTCTCTCTCTCTCTCTCGCTCTCTGCACGCAAACCCCCCCCCCCACCCATCTCTCACTCACTTTCTTTCTTTCTTTGATTGTTTCTTTCTTTCGTTCGGGCATGGGGGCCGGCAGACCCCCGCGCGATTCGCACGCCCCAGCTCTGTGGAGGGGGAAAGATATCCCTACCTGGCCCTACACCTGTCTATCTCCACACGCTAGGCCCCCCTCAAGAGGAGCCGCCCCGAAGGGCGTGAGAGTCGAACGTCTTGTTTTTTACTCTGTTTCTCGCTCTCCCTCTCTCTCTCTTTCTCTCTCTCTCTCTCTCTCTCTCTCTCTCTCTCTCTCTCTCTCTCTTTCATGGGCAAGAAGGGGAGACGCATTCCGCGAGCCTCTGCCGCTCTCACTCTCTTCCTGTTTATATTGGTATTGTTTGTGTTTTTCTTGTTTTTTTTGTTTCCCCACCTTCGGTGTGGGGTTGTTAGATTTTGAACTCAACTCTTCTCCTCGCCCGGAACTCTTCTCCTCGCCTGGTCTATTCCTAGAGACTCCCTGCAGTGCCCAACCCCAGAGACTCCCGCCCAACCCCAGAGTCTCCCTGGAGTGCCCAGCCCCAGAGTCTTCCTCAGTGCCCAACCCCACAGACTCCCTGGAGTGCCCAACTCAGAGACTCCTGGATTGCCCAACAACTGCCTGGAGTGCCCAACCCCAGAGACTCCCTGAAATGCCCAAACCCCAAATCCCTAAGGTGGGGATGTTCGAAGTAAAATATGTTTTTCGCCTTCTTTTTCTTCTTCTTCTTCCTCTTCCTATTCCTTCTGCTGTGCGCTTAAAGACACCCCCCCTCCCCCTTTCTCTATCTCCTCGGCAGAGGTGCTCGAAATCGTCTGAACGCCCAGAAGAACACTCAACAATGGCCCCGAAACCCTCAAACCCGGTATGGTAGAAGCAAGATCCAGACGACAGCCTGAGGTCAAACTCGAATTGCGCAAACTGCCGGACGAGCTGGACGGGTCTCGCCTCTCATCACGGCATCACACTCTACTGCAAGCCCATCCCGTTCGTCGTCAGAATGGTCGACATGACTGCGGATCCTGCCACCAACCACCACAGCATGCGGGTAGTAGTCTAAATATAGTTGCCCAGTGTACGACGCTTTTACGACTCAACACCGCGCAGCTTTTGCAGCTGTTTACTCCAGATATCTCCAGGAAAGGAAGAATCTAAGAAAACATTCAACAAGCAGGAGCTCTCACCTAGCGGGGCCTGCAGAGCACCATGAAGCTGCAGCTTCCCTCGTTCCTGTACATGTGTTCTCTCACAAAGACGCCCTTTGCAGACCCGATGCCTCTTGCGCAGTGAACACAAGGATCGAGTTTGGTGGCACAGGCCCTGTCAGCGACACGAACTTAGGAGTGGGCTAAGGATGCAAACGGCGTGGGAAAGTTTCAGAAGACTGTGTGTTGCTACAATTGGGCTGGTAAG